AAAGCGATTGAAGTGCTTCGCTTGGGTTCAAAACCTTTTGCATACACAATTTTTTTTTTAAATCTTATCCTGTTTTCTAGAAAACAAAGAAAAACAAGTTTAAATGCATATAGATGTTATACGCATTACATAAAAATAAAGATATAATATACTATAACAAACCAAACGGAGAGAATTTTTTAAAACGTTTTTTAAAATTTCTAAAAACATAAAAACGCTGTACTTGATTCACGTGTGAATAAAACGATGATTTATTTTAGCCGCTTTTAATTGAAATCAACCAAGATATGCTGCCCTCCCCTAACCCCGTGAATCAAGCACACCACCCTAAAATTTAACTAAAGTTAAAAAATATATAAATTAATTTTTAGAACTTTAAGAGGGTGGACCCAAAACTCAGTTTTTGTTTATTCCGCTATTTTGATTGATGTTTTTGTAAAGCAGTAAACCTTAAAAACACATAGAAGCTTTAAGGTGTTTAAGCTATAATTTTATAAAACGTGTTTAAGCTAAAATAGACTTTTAAGTCTTTTAACTACTAAACTTTCACGTAAAATGAAACTTTATGTCATTTACTGAATGTGTTAAATTATAAAACTGTGCAACAGTTTTATAATTTAAGACAAATCTTATATGTTTAATTGAAAAAGTGAATATTTTAAAAATTAATTATGTCTATATATATATTAGATGTTCAAGAGATCAGAGCCGAAGAGCTCTTGCCAAGTAAGCTAACTTTGTATGAGAAGGATATGTTACAAAGATATATATTTCACCAATTTCAGCAATTTGTTAATTATAACTTTTTTTTAATGTTTAGCGGAAGTAATGGACAAGCTAAGTCAGGAATTTTTTTGTTGTTGTTTTTTTTTTTTTTGTGTGCAAATATAGTTATGCTTTTTTAGTTTTTTTAAAGTTATTTAGCAACTGACTTTTGTCAGTTGTGACAGTTTGTCAGTCAGCAAGTGACTTTTGTAACTTTCAAATTTATTTTATTTAGAAAAATTAGAAGATTCAGTTGAGAATCTATGTAAGCAATTTGTTATTGTTGTTGTCATGCTTTTTATTTTTTTTATTACATATTTATTTAACATAAAGTTATTCTATATATGGCAAGTTAGTTTATTTTAATGTTTATAAGTTTTTCATTTTATTTAGAAAAAGTAGAACATTCAATGGGTAAACAGAATTTGATTATATTTCATTTGTGTATTATAGATAAAGATATAGCATTTTACTTTCAAAAAAAAAAAGGTCTACTCTTTAGTCTTTTAGCTTTTTTGATACAATTTTTAGCATTTTTTTTATAGGGCTTATACTTCAACAGCTAAGTAAATTACTATAATGTTCTTATTTATTTTAATTTTTTCTTTTTTTTTTGGAACTTTTTTCTTTTTTTTTTTTTTGGTTTGTTTTGCTTCGTATATTATATGTATATTATAATATTCTGCATGTTAGTTTCTTTCTTAATGTTAATGAGTTTTTTTTTATTCTATTTAGAAAAATTAGAAAATTCAATTGGTAAGCAAAGTTCACTTATGTTTCATTTTGTTTAATTTTATTACACTTTTTTTGATGTTTGTGTGCGGTTTTATCACTTAAAATAAACTGTTTAATTGATTAGTATATGTTAGTTTATGTAAATATATTTTTTACATCCACTATAGCGTCATCTGCAGTACCATCTGGTAATGTGTTTTGCATTCTTATGCAGTTTTAAGAGTGTTATGTGTGTTAAAACTTAAAGATAGCATATCTTAATTTACAGATTACTTTATTTTTTTTTTTTGTCTCTACATTAACACCTCAAGCAATAATATCAGGTAATCTGTTTAGCATACTTATGCAGTTTTATGGGTTTTATGTGTATTAAAACTTAAATTTTTTTTTTTTTCATGTTTTCATGCAATTACATAAATGTTTAACACATGTTACTTTATACACTTTTTTTTTTACTTTTACAATAGCATCAATATCATCTGCAGTGCCATCAGGTAATG